GTGATAAGAGACATTCCGGAGAGAGAGAACAAGAAACAGGAGAGACAGAGAGACATACACACAGATAAACGAGTGAGAGAGAGAGAGAGAGAAGAGAAGAGAGAGAGAGAGAGGAGAGCGCGCAGCGCGGAGAGAGAGAGAAGAGAGAAGAGAGAGAAATAGAAAGGAAGAAGAGAGAATATTCGTCACAGGAAAGGACAAAAGACCAAAGACGCCGATCGTTGTCGTGGTAGGGCGATGTCCATCGTGACCTAAACTAAGAGACTGAATCAGCCCTTCGCCGAACGGCTTCTCTAGAGGGCGTCACTTTAGACAACCGATGTACCATCTCCCCCCTCAGCCCATCAGCAAAATCACCCTCTCCCACGCACACACAACAACCTGTCGGCTCCGCTGTGTTCTCTCTCCTCTCTCTCTCCGAACACGCAGGTGACATCGCGTCAACAGCACACACCACACACGCACATCACAGACACAGCACACACACACCGCCCAACACGAACACAGCCCACCCACACGACACATCACACACACACCGACTCACACACAAGCACCTCTGTTTTCAAACGGGGCCGCGGGTTCGGTTGCCGATCATACCGCAGCATCCCAATGGAGCTTCCGGCGGAATGAAGCGATGCTTCACCTGTGTTATCATGGCCATCGTCGATCTACTGCGGTGATGTATGGAAATGGTTGACACCTCTGACCGTCCAGCGAAACTCTGCAACCTAAGAGCTGTCGCCTTCGATTCCAGTCGAGAATCGATTTGAACCGAGCGCAATGGGAGTAGTGATTGCCAGTAACACTCTTCAATTTGAAATACGTAACTGATCGGGAGATTGGAGGGACTGACTGTTTTCGTATCTGAACATTACATCTCACATCTGCTGTTATAGAAGAGAGAGAGAGGCAGAGAGTGCAAGAGAGAGAGAGAGAGAGAGAGAGAGAGAGACGAGAAGAGAGAGAGAGAGAGAGACGAGAGAGAAGAAGAGACACATTCACTACACAGAGAGGAAGAGAGAGAGAGAGAGAAGAGAACAGAGAGCAGAGAGAGAGAGAGACATCACAGAGAGAGAAGAGAGAGAGAGAGAGACATGAGAGAGAGAGAGAGAGAGAGAGAGAGAGCATGAGGAGAGAGAAGAGTGAGGAGTAGAGGAGATAGAGAGAGAGAGAGAGATTAGGAGAGAGAGAGAGAGATTTAGGGATGCTATTCGGCTAGGAAACTATCAGTCGCTCTCTAACCCGTGTGTTCGTCCTACACTCTGTTAGCCACTGAAGTTAACGAAGCGGGTTCGCCACGCTGGTATATGTGCTCTCTTTCTCTCTTCAACTCGGTTCCACAGCCCAGTGCGTGCGGTCGTTGGGTAGCGGCCGGACCAACCTGACTGACCAGTGGTCACTGATAGTAGTGGTAGTAGTGGTGGAAAGTGAATGGATAGAAACTAATTAGCTCTAACACAAGCGTTCCGGACCGACCGAAGAGTGGCCGGACTTGAGCCAGTCACCTGGTTGACCGCTGGTCACTGGTAGTGGTAGTAGTGGTGTTAGTGGTGGAAAGTGACTGGATAGAAACTAAGCTCAGACCGACCTCGTTGACCAGTGGTCATTAGTAGAGGTAGTAGTGGTGGTGGTGTTAGTAGTGGTGTTAGTAGTGGACATGGGTCAGCGCCTGAGTAAGGCCAGCCGGGGCAGTGCAGACGCCACGCTGCGCGCGATCTACGGCGACGGCGACGATGACGACGACGACGACCGATGGCGGTCGATCTGGGCTTCCTGCACGAGAGGTAGCAGCGCGACTTCCGGGCGATCTCCTCTTCCGTTTCCGCTTCCGCTTTCTCTTCCCGTATGCGCGGTCGATATCGTTGGGGGGGGGAAGTTTCCCTGTTTGATCATTTACGTTTGTCTTTTGTTTTTAGGAATAATTCGTCTGGCTGTGTAAATGCTGACATTAATTCTCCTTTTTTAAATTATACCTATCTCACTTCCCGCTGAAATATTGTTGTTGTTGATATTGTTAGTGTAATGACGTAATCGTATTTTAAAATTCGGTGTGTTTTTCCTCTTGTATATTCCTCTCTGTATTTGTTGTTGTTAGTGTGCTTGTTGTTGTTTGTTGCTTGTTTGTTGAGTTGAACGTCTGTTTTTCGTTTGTTGTTTGTTTGTTGAATTCAAGGTTTGAATTGTCGCTTGCTGCTTGTTATTTTAACTGCCTGTCTGTTTGTTCTTCGTTGTTTGTTTGAAATGACCGTGTTTGTTGTTTGTTTCGTGTTTAATTGAACTGACCGCTTTTTTGACCGGTCAATGCTTAATTTTTAAGGTGAACGTTCTTCGTATTTTGTTGTTTGTTTCCTGGGCTGACCATACGTTGTTGTTTGTTTACCGAACTGACCGTATGTTGTTATTTATTATTTGTTTGAACTGACCGTGTGTTGTCGTTTAATGCTTGATTTTTAGGTTGACCATGTGATGTTCGTTGTTGTTCGTTGTTTACTGAACTGACCATGTGTTGTTTATTTGTTGATACACAGAAGAGAAGAAAGCGCAGGCGGTCGTGGAACTTTATAAGAAGGATGGCTGCACGCTGGGACTGACTGTATCGGGGGGCATCGACAAGGGATGCAAACCCTTCATCTCAAACCTACGTGCTGGCGGCATCGCCCACAGGTGAGCACACGCACGCACGCACGCACGCACGCACGCACGCACGCACGCACGCACGCAAGCCGTGCACTTCTGTTACTTGCTTGTATTTTTTATATTTGTTAGAATTGTACATTATTCTTCGACGATTCTCCCACTACACTGGTCCTTCTCTGTCTTCCTCTCTCTCTCTCTCTCTCTCTCTCNTCTTTGCTCTCGTCTGCTCCTCCTGCTCTCGTCTCGTCTGCTCTGACTCTCTCTCGCTCTGCTGCTCTCTCTCTCTTCTCTCTCTTTTTCTTTCTTGTTCTTTGCTCTCTTCTCTCCTATCTCTCTATCTCTCTCTCTCTTCTGGTCTCCTCTCTGTGCGCACCTCTCTCGCCCTCTCTGCTCCTCTCTCTCTCTTTCGATTTTCTTCTCGCTCTCTCCGTCTCCTCCTTCGAGTTTCTCTCTCTCTCTCTTCTCTCTCTCTTTTTCGATTTCTCTTGCTCCTCTTTCTCTGTCTTTCTTTCTTCTCTCTTCTCTCTTCTCCTCTTCACTCTCGGCCCGCTCTCTCTTTCGCCTCCTCTCTCTCTGCTCTCTCTTCTTTCGATTTCTTTCTGCTCGAGAGAGAGAGAGAGTATGGGGAAGTAAGATTATTAAGTATGTGAAACCTTATCCACGCTAGGATTAAGCGCTGACGTCGGTTTGCAAATCCCGTGACATTCGCCGAATGAAATGCATCCCTCCCCATCCTCCCGCCACATCACGCAGGGATGCTGGCGGGATGCGGGGAAGATGCTGCCGTCGTCGTCCTGGCAACCATCAACGTGGATTTTCGCAGTCGTCCTGCTTCCGTCGAACGCGCGTTGCTGCTGCCTTCGCCGTCGCTGTCCCCAGTTTGACTTCAGGCTTCAGTTCCAAGGATGAGGATGCTGCGATATAGGTGGTGCAGGCACCTCAGCGGATGCCAGTGCAATGTCGAGCCAGTGCAATTATCAGTGCGCAGTGCAATACCGAGCTAGTGCAGTTATCATTGATGTGTGTGCGCAGTATGTGATCGTGTGTGGTTGAATTGAAGCTAGGATTCTATCGCGTACACGTGTTGAGATTGGTCGATTGGTGAACGTGGATGAGAGGCAGGGAGGAGAGCGTGTCAAGAAGAGAGAGACACGGAGAGAGAGAGAGAGCGAGCGCGAGAGAGAGACACGGAGAGAGCGATATCTCGAGGAGGTTTGCCTCGTGTTCAGTGCGTGCGCGACTGTGGTCGGCGGTCGTGTGGTGGTCGTAGTTGTCACAACGCATAGATAGGATGGACGATCGAGAAGTATTGCCCGATTTCGTCGCCAACACTTCCGTGGTATGTTGTACGATTACTA